AGACTGCTGGCTGACTGCTCCTGCCTTCAAAGACCCATCCAGAGAAACGAGACTGTTTTCTAGATGTTTTTAACTGTGTAGTCCATTTTGAGAATCTGAATGGTGATTTGGCAAGCACTGGGAGATTGAGGTGTGGTGCAATAAACATTCCCATGGGGAACTAGTGTGCAAATTCATGTTGGAAAATTTATTCTGCCATAGCCCATGAATTCTCCATTTTTCCAACATGGTCATCAGCTCTGAACCTTTCTTACAATAGTAGAAAACTCCAGTTTAGACCTAAAGACATTAGAATCCTCATTTTTCCTTCCTCTCCATTTCATTAGTGGGTCTGTTGAATTCCAGCTCTCCTTCCACTGCAGAGCCCTGTAGAGTACAGAAGCTGCACCTCAATTAAATATGAAATATCAAGATAAATGTCTGAATAAAATATCCAGGACTCAGACAAACTTCCAAAACCTGCTTGTCAGCAGTGAAATGCCATTAAATCCTCTAGGAACTCATTAATAGATTAACATTTGGAAGAGTAATTACAGCTAGATTAGACCTAAGAATAAAGAAAAATAAAGGAAAATCCAGCAGCATCATTTCTCTAAACTCTTGACACGAAATGAAGATCAATACTATAAAAAAATCAGAGGTAAGGAATTAAGGTCAAGATGATTATGTCAAAAATAGGTAAGCTGTTCATATATATTTCAAACAAAACTAGTGTAGATGCAACTGTTATGTAGTGTTTCATATTATTTGTGTGGAATACTACCTCACAGGGGATAGAAAGGGGATGTTAAGGTGAAATCAAGGATGTATCTGGAAATTGGATGAGCTGATGACTTCAGTGCCCTTAACCTAAATCACAACTAAAATTAACAATGTCAAGCTTTGTAGCTACATTTTCTGAGCCAAAGCAAGACACTGATCTGTAGTGAGACAGAAATATATAACCCTTCAAAAGGATTAAATACTGCAAAAGTCTTTTTTGAGAATTTATGTTACAGCTCTGTAAAGGGAAGAGAAAAGATAAGATAAAGTAGGTACTACAGTTAGATAAATAGGTGAGATCTTGAGAAATGTTTTCATTTTTCATAAAATTCTCACAGTCTGTGAATTTTATACATATAATGAATTACATTATAGCCTGGAATATGAATCTTGCAAATTTATGAAATAGAAAGAAATACAAATGGAGAAAATATGACTTTATTTAGAAAAACCTCTGTATTACTGTGAGTGTACCTACAGTAGAACCAGACTGCACAGCAGTGTGTTAGTGGGAACTGAGCTGTTTTCAAGAGGAAAAAATATAAAATATAAAAAAGTAACAAGGTTGTAAAATACATAGATGACAAATAAAATTAAGTCATCAATGTGTTAAAAAAATGTTAAGGTTTTAGATTTGCAATTTTCCTATTTAAATGCCCTCATTGATTTGTTACAAATACTGTTAACCCTGTGTTTGGAAAATGGTGAGGACATTATCACTTGTGTTCTCATTTGTAATAAAATAGATTAACTTGCTGTGAAATTTTAACTAGGCTGAGACACAACAGTAGCTACCTAATGAACCAGAGCACATTGCTGTTAAGTAGCTAAATGGATGCATACTGATTACAGGACTGAAAAATGGATCTGTTTATTTGCAAAAAAAAGAGGCTGTTCATAGTGTTATTCATTATAGTAGGGGAAATTCAGCATTACATTTCCACACAAACATTTAGAAATAGACAATTTCTTGATCCACATGTGGTCTTACATCATGATGCTCTATCCGCATTCGTAGTGCATCCGATACAGAGAAAATTTTAGCTCCTTTGTTGCTTATAGGGAAAACTGTGTCTTCCCTGTATATGTAAATTTTTATAACTGGTAAGACATTAGATGACATAATCAACTAATTCTCTTAGAAAGTGATTCACTGTGTGATTAAGAATGACATTATTATTTGACACTTTTATTTCTGCCTGAACATTTCAAACCAAGACCCTGAGTTTGAAGGCAAATTGCTTGACGCAGAGATTATTTTATAGCATGAGACAAGGGAAAATGCAGTTACCAGGAGAAGTTCAAATACTTTGCTTTTCCAAATCATCAGTTTTTGAATTACTCAGATAACTCCCATTTAAGATGACATGTATGGCTGTTTATGTGATATCTAAGTGTTAATTCATAGTCATATTTGTTCATAGGTTTTTTTGCAGAACATTTGGCATGTCCTCTCCTTGGCTATTCATTTTCATGGTTGCAATAGACAATCAAATTTACTTAAACTATGTACTCTTCTGTAAAAGGAATCATTTCAAAATGATATCTTAATTGTAAATTGAGTACTCTTTGTGGTAAAAAGAAAGAAAATAGTGCCAAAGAGGACTATTAAAAGTGAAATCCAGTCAAATAAAATTGCAGTCAGAGTTGTAGCCTATTAGCAGTAACATATTTGGAAGTTATTTACACAAAGGTAGAAGACACATAGTATTTATAAGCTCAGAATTGCACGTATATGATTCATCATTTGTTTAGAAGAATACTTCTTGGGATAAGAATATGCCTTTTAAAAATAACTTAATAAGCAGCCCATCCACAGAGTAAGTCATGACTTTTCCTCTCATCTCAGCAACTTCCAAAATTGCTCTTTTGGCGATAGAGAAGAAAACACAGGAGACTTTAAGATCAGTGACTTTGCCTTCCCCCCCCCCCGAATTTGAAATTTTTGTTTGTTTGTTTAAAACCATTTGGTTTTCAAAATTTTAACAACTTGTGACTTAACATAATCACGGAATCACAGAATTGTCAGAGTTGGAAGGGACCTCTAGAGATCATCTAGCCCAACTCCCCTGCTAAAGCAGGAATGCCTAGAGCACATTACTCAGGACTGCATCCAGGCGGATGAATCCATAGTTTCATATAAGTTAAAACTTAATAAAGATTTTTAATTAGCATTCAAACATACTGCCATTAAAAGTCTCCCTTTAAGATTTATTAGTTACTATATGTTCGTTAAATAACAGACAATTAGTGAAAACAGATCCATTGAGGATTAACAGCTATGTAATAGATACACATCTGTTACATGATTTTGAGGCTCAGTTATTTAACATACAATAACTATCCTATTAAAAATGCATTCAATGCTACGTTTTCAGCTGCTGTGATTGGAATAGGCAAATGCCACCCCTTGCTATTACGAGGATCCAATCTCACATTGCCTTTGCATCATTCTCAAATTTATCTGTAGATACAAAGATAAGTGTGGTTTAGAGATATGGTTTTAGTGGATAACAGAATATTTGTTAAATGTCGATATTATTGCCAGTGTTATTAATGAATTGCCTCAATAGGTTATGAACAGAAGCTATTATGCTAGCTATTTATAAAGAAAAAACTATTAGAATCTACCATTCTCTTTCTAAAGCTATATTATTGATTTAGGATATTGTCTAGCAAAAACTGCACGAAAAGTTCAGATGCTATTGAGTTTATTTTCAAAAGCACAGGGTAAATTACCGCCAAGTAGCCAGATTGCATACTCCTAATAAAAAATCCTTGAGAACAGGTTAGAAAGGCAGAAAAATTGCGAAGTTCCCTTGAGACAACTTCCCCAGATTACACTGTACTTGTGATTTTTAATGAGGTCAGGGCAAGAGGATCTCCCTTTTTTAAAAAAGAAAGTAATATTTCAGTTCTCAGTTTCCACAGGGGACAGTTGATTGCCAGGGATGAGGGCAAGTCCAAAGATGCAGGTTCTGGAATTCTGTAAATTCAAGCATTTCCTTGGTAGTGTCTCTCAATTGGAACTTGTAATAGAGGATTTAAAACATACAAGGTTTTTTTAAGATAAGAATATCTAAAGTACCTCTGGCCGTCTTCCCTTTTAGAAGATTCTAATGTCTTGTAGGTCCTGGAAACAGCAATGAAGGATACTGGAATTGTGAATTAATTCAGAAAAACTACACGTGGAATCACTGGGTTGGAAAGGATCTCGAGTGGTCGTGTAATCTCTACCCTTCCTCAAGACAGGATGAATTATTACTTATGCCACGCTTGTCTAACCTGTTCCTAAAGATTTTTACTGATGAAAACTTCACGGCATCTTCAGACAATCTGCAGAATTTCATTTTGCTAAATGTTTATAATTTCATATCCTTTTTTGTCCATACCTAAAATATATTTAAATTAGAGGTTAATATAAAAGTTTTGTTTGCAAATGTACACATAAGAGTTTGCAAGCGCATTCTTATTTTTGTTAGCCAGTGGTGCTTTTCATGCAAAAGTGAAGTTCTTACCAGTGCCACAGCTTACAAAATTTGTCTGGGCACTATCCCGAGAGTATATCAGTGTAGTTTATTCAGGTACAGACCTAGTGGGTTTACAAATCTGACTCTATTTAGTGACTGTTTAGTCCGTTTATTTGAAGTTTATTTGAAATGTGACTCATATATGTAAATTTCACTACCTGTAGATCAAAAGTAGTTTTTGAAAACAACTCTTACCAGTGCCACAGCTTACAAAATTTGTCTGGGCACTATCCCGAGAGTATATCAGTGTAGTTTATTCAGGTACAGACCTAGTGGGTTTACAAATCTGACTCTATTTAGTGACTGTTTAGTCCAAATCTGAATTGTTTATTTGAAATGTGACTCATATATGTTATTTTCACTACCTGTAGATCAAAAGTAGTTTTTGAAAACAACGTGAAAGAATATACTTTATGTTCCCATGTGTGAAAAAGGCAAAAAGTAAAAAGTTACCAGGAAAAAAAAAGTGTAACTGTAACTATGTCATGACACAAATGATGAAAAGGTGTGTCTGAAACATTGCATGTAGAAGGCTATACTCTTTTAGGCTGTAGAAGACTATACTGCTCTTTCAGTGTGAATTCTGTTCACTAGTTATCACAGAAAGACCATTTGTTATTGCTCTTACAGACAATTTCATTTTTTCATTGAACTTCAGTGAAGTCCATGAATCACATTGCACAGACTTTGTTTTATTTCTGTTTCAAGGAAAGGATCCAAGACAGCCCTTCTCCAGCTCCGTCTCTAGAAGACAGTCAGCGGCCCGGGAGCCACGCGTCCTCCCATCAGAGCAGCAGCGTGTCCAGCTCTCCATCCCAGTTGGACAACACACCAGACAGAATTGGTTAGTGCTCTGCAGCCTCACACCCCTTTTCAATTACTGACCTCAAGAATTTTAGAAGTTTGTTGAGGCATATGTTTCTTTGCTGGGAAACACAGGCAAGCACTCACTTGCTAAAAAAAACCCCAGAAAGTTCATCAGTATAGTTTGTTGTATTAGGTTCGTCACTATGCAGACCCCGGCCCATGAGATTCATTCTGTGCCTGTATCCATCCGTGTACAGAAGATATCACCACTTTTCTGGGGGTACCTTCTCTGGTACGACCAGCTTCTCTTGCGTGTTGGAGTAAGAAAGTGTCTCTGAAAGCACCTAGAATTGAAAAAAAAAGATATATTCTTCTTTTTATGTGTATCAGAAAAGTCACAGATTATATGATGCCTTTTCCATTCCAAAAACCTTTTCATGCCCACACATTCCCTCATCAGCATGAGGCTAAGGGCTTTTGGATTTTTTTGGTCTCTCCACCACAGCTTTCACAGCCTGTGCATTATTGATCTTGTGTTTAAAATGCTAATTCAGTCTAAGGAAGTTTAGATACTATTCTTGGTGCTTCCAAGAGGGATCTAGGGCAAGTCAATTAACATCTCTTCATGTCAGTGTATGTCAACGCTGTTGTCTTCACAGTGACTGGAGCCTATGCAAGCATTGCTGAGCTACATTTAAACTACAAAAACAGTGCAGTCCATGTAAGTCAGTGTAGACTTCACTCCCATCAAATAACTACTCAGCTGCTTGTTGGGATGTTGCAGTTTGGACCCTGGTCCAGGCAGCAGCACTGTGGCACTGCATAGCACAGTTGGCTCTACACAAACTAGTCAATGGAACCTGAACTACTTTGCCTAAACATATGCACACACAGGGCAAAGACTAGAAAGTAGACTCCCCTCGGCTTTCTCGTATGTAAACTTGGGCTAGAAATATACAGGCCAAGAAATATAACTTCCTATAGCAGCAGTGAAACAGGGACTTTGTCCTCACTGTAGCTTTTGAAAGCTACTGTAACTTATTTTATTAATAGTCATAGCACACACTGCAAGCCTCTGGGCTCCAGAAATGGTGCTGAAAGCTTTTTAAAAGAAAACTAGGTTTTATTTATGTTGAACTAACCATTTCTCTGTGTTGCAGTCTAATGCTTACTATTGTAAAGATACGTCTATATACTTTGTGTGTATATATATATATATATATGTTTTACTTTTGCAATACAAAAAAAACCAACACCACTTCCCCTAAAATATGATGATGAAGGTTTTAACAAGTGTCCTGTTTGGAATAACTTCAAATTCTGTAATTGGTTAATTGCAGAGAATGAAATGTTTTAATCAAATAAGAACAAAGAAAATAGGCATCCTGAAATCATAAACTTAACACCTTTCCCTGATCTTGCAGATGTTAAGTCAAGAATTGATTTCAACACTGCAACGTATTGTTTTTCCACTGTCATGTATCAATTTGTGCTTGTGTGTCTATCTGTATTTTCTATTAAGCTTGCTGCTAATACTGAAATCCTTAAATGTTTTTTTTTTCCCCAAAATGATTTCTGTGAAGTGTTTTTCTAATTAGATAATTTGAACATTTCATAAGAAATCACATTCATCTCAATAGTAATTTGGGTTATATCTTGGTATCTTTGTTTAATCAACTTAAGCAAATTTGCTTTTGCTGCATATTTTACTTGGCTCTAAGTGCTGAACTGGGACAGTGAAATGGTTGTTTATGGACAATAAAAACGGTCAGTTGCTTTAGGACTTATATAGTATAAATAAATGTTGAAATACCAAAATATTGACAAAGAGGAAATATTATTTAATATTTTCCTCTCTTCTGACTTTTTTTTATTTGACAGTGTTATATAGCTGTGCACTCTGATTTTTTTTAGCTATGCTGACCAACAGCAGGGAAGGAGAACTCATTGATCAAGAAACTGGGACCAGCCTAAAAAAGATACAAAAGGATAAAGGTAGAGTTACAAACTGTTTTCCATCTCAGGCATTTAATTACACTTCTTATGAGTTTTATTCCTTTTTCTATTATTCTGCATATGCAGTGGCGTAATGTTATAAATTTAAGAGAGTTAAGTGCCTAATTGCAATGAATAATGTATCCAGTGAATTTACGTGGCGTTCTTCTTAGGAAGTGTAAACAAACAGATCTTTGCTTGTCTCTGTTTATATAGTATGGGGCTAATATTTTGCTGGTCTTTTGACTCAATTATTTATGAAGTTCCTAGCAAATATTTGATTAGTCACATGGTATTGTTTCTTTGCCTCCGGGGAATATGTGTGCAGACTACTCTAATGCTGGTATGTAGGTGAGGGAAATAAGCCATTTTTTTTGTGTCTAATAATATTATATGACCTCATAAGCGAGAGGCAGCAAGGGAGGAAGTGCTGTTCGGCCTTCAGTGATTGTCCTGTAGGCAGGGAAGCGCCTCTTCTGCTGGGTTCTCCCTGCAGTGGTAGTTGAGTACTGGAGAAAGTGCATACATTGATGTAGTGTAGCAGGTGAGCAGTGACAGAAAGCATGGGGCATCTGTGGCTGCACAGCGAGGAAGAAGCCGCCATTTTGTTTCCTTGCAAATATAACAAAAAAAGAAGTTCACATGAATAGGCGAGAGGTTTATTCTGACAGTACGCACAGAAAACACCACACAAATTGAGTGCATGCAAAAAAAAGAAGACAGGATATAGTTAAAGAAATAAAAGAAAGCTGAAGGTAAGTGAATACAGGCAAAATACTGCAAAGGCATACTGAGGGAGATACTAAGGTTTCAGAGTGAAAACGATGTGAAGAAAAAGAAAGAAAAGGAAGTGACCAAAAGAGGAGATAACTTAAGCTACATGTACTTATAAGTCTACTGAACATTTTATTATAAATTTAAACACAAACTGATTTATATTTTGATTGAGGTGTTTTTAGCTTATGTGTAAAAAATCAGACAAACTCATACGCCTTAGGCCTGAGTGAATTATTACATTCTCTGTATTTTAATGTATTTTCTGAGAAAACTAAAAAGGCAAGTATAGAGAGTTTTATGAGCTATTCAAGAGAATTTGGAGGCTCCATGTACCCTGTGGTTCCTGAGTTATATAAAATTATTTGAGCAGATTGATTCATGATTTTGTATTATCAGCTCAATTCCTTAAATATCTGTGACTGATCCTGTTAAGGGTAGGAAGAGCCTGAAACTTCTGTATTTTATACTTTCATACTTGACTCTCTCCTCCTGAAATCAGAAGCTATTTTCTATTCATTGGTTTCTCTAGGCATTTAAGTACTTTCCTTATGAACCCCAAAAGAACCCTTTTGTGCAATTCTGAGATAATTTTCTGTCTGGATCATCATGCTTAAATCCTTCCCTCTTGACTCTTGTTGGCGTTTATGGACCAACACCAGAGGCCAAACAGTTATCAACCATATCTTCATTCCTAAGATTAAAAAATTACATTTCTGTGGTAATTGCATAAGTGAGTATTTAATCTAAATCTGAAAGTGTAGTTAAGTGTAGTTGATTTTAATTTTGTTGAACTGTGCATGGTTTCTTGCTGCATGTTTAGTAATTTTTCAGAGAAACAAATCAATATCCTGTGGGGTTCAAAGATGCAAATCATGTAGTTACTGGTAGTAGCAGTCCTGTCACTCAGGACGGATGAAGGAAGGTACAGGTGAAGGATCAGAACAGACAATTCAGAAATCCCAAAAAGCGTGAAAATAATTTAAACCCTACCACCTGTGAACCCAATACCTAGGCTCCTGTGAAAATTGAACATTCATTGGAACATGTACAAAAACACAAAGATCTGATGCTAACATTTTATGTACCATAATTCACTTTAAGATTAAATTTGTATATGCTTATTCATTTCCTGGTCACCATTTTTGCATAGTATTATCTTTCTTCAATTGAATATATATTGGGAAATATGTCTTTATACATTTGTTACTTCTGCACGCACTTACAGGATTTTTTTTAGGATGAGGTTAGTGTTCAGAGATTCACAAGACATTTTAAATTATCATTTCAAAGATAGAACGTTTCTGGTTTTCTACTTGGTCTGCACAGGTCAAGTTTTTCTCTGAAAATAAAAGAATGAAAAAGTATTTATTTTTGTCAAATAAAGATGTAATTTTCAAATAACCCCATGGCTCCAAAACCAAACCTTTTGATGACATTATAATTGGGACAAATGCTGATGTTTTAAAGGCACCTACAGGCATTGTATACCTAAGAATTCCAAGCCGATTTTGCATTTGGCAATGTGACAGGCCTGTATTACAGTTCCTATAGGAATCTCTGTTTTATAGGATGCAGGTACCCTATAATTGATGGACTGCACCAGTAGGACAGAGTCAATACTCTGCTTCTGAAAACCCCCAGCCTGTGTGGGCTGGGCCTTTCTGTCACCCTCTACAAGTGTTCCTATTCCTCAGTGATTTGTCTCACTCACGTATAGATTCTTTGTTCCTAATAATATTATTCTCTTGCGTATAATTGGTTTTGGCTCTGGTGTACCTCAAATATGCTCAATGTTTTTCATAGTCAGATGTGGACAGTCACTGAAGAGTATGATCTATGCTGAGTTGCTCAGCAAAAAATATTACAGAACAAGCTTTGTCTTTCAAAACCTGCCATTACTTTTACTAAGGCAAAATATATTTACCATGGAAAAGATTTTCAAAGTTATTAAGAAGGAATGTAGTTAAAATAAAAGTATCAACATTTATTAAGTATGACAAGTAAGCGGTTTATACAACCGTGGCAAACATATGTTTTCACATCTGTTTTGAGTAATATCATCATGATTTTAAAAATGATTTATAGCTCTGTAGGCCATAAAATGCCAGCTTTGCTGTAAGGTGGAAGTTTTCAAACAACAAAGAAATTATTGAAGGCATATATTGAACATGGTTTTGTGTTATACACCTTGATAAAACTTTACAAATCTGAGCACTCTGTAACAATTAAGATAGCAACAAACGAAAATTAAGTAACTAAAATTTAGCAACAGTACTACTTATGTGACAGCATAAAAAACAGTAAAAGTTACTGTAATTATTATAGGCAAATACCGTGATATCCCCCAGGATACACAGTTTTTGTTTTCCGTGCCCCATTTTAAGTGATCTCAGCACCAGACAAAAATGTGCTACTTTGTTCTCATCAAAGTAATTTCAAGGTAATTAAGACTGAAGAGAGCATGGTTTAACAGTTTTTCTTTAAAAGACAGTTAATATGAGGTTTTCCAATTCTGTTGAGCTGTTTGCATATGTTGGGGAGAGCAGAATTTACAGAATTGGTGGCTGTCTCAGCACAGAGCCCAGTTACAGACCACACCTTTAAGCTTTTTGAAGGAGAAATGCCATTAAATCTCAATTACTCCACATCCTTTCATCGTCTTTTTAGGAAGTGTGGTCAGGCTTAACATTAGAGAACAACAATATCAAACATCTTCATAGGTCTTCAGTTTTATTTTTTTGCATGAAAGACATATTTTTGTCAAACACCTTTAACTACAATGGTGCACAAGCATTTTGCCTGTGAATCCATATCAGGGTGTAAGTGAAAAACATGAAGAGTAATCTGTACTTTATTTTGAAATGGCTATTTTTAAATCCTTTCCGTGAAAGGAAACAGAGTTAGAAAATCCCCAACAGAACATAGCCCCAAACATTTACAAAAACTTAAACTCAAATTCTTCTTGATTGTGCTTGCTTGTTCTGTCTGGTTTTAAGCAGTTGCATTTTACCTGCACAGTTACTCCCTGAAACTTAATTTTAAATTCATCTGCTTCAATATATATCCTGAAAAAATCTACTGTATGGGAAAGGTTTGTGTTTCACACAGCCCTATATGGGCTTTATAGAAACCTCCGTATGAATTCTGGCATTAGGAAGGTTAAACAAGCCAGAAAAGAATTCAGCCTTACCTTCCAGTCGGATTTAAATGCTGGTACAAATATTCTGTTTGACTGCATGACAAGAAATATTTCAAACTTTTCATATAAGATAGAGTAATAAAAGGCACTCGCCCAACTCTTGGGCAAGTCAATGGACTTGGAAAGTCTTGGAAATCAATGGGAATGTTTGTGATATCTTCAGTGGGAACAGAGTTTGGCCAAAGCCTGGCATTTCGGAAGATCGGTCCCCCAGCTAGTACTACTGGTTATTATTCCAGACAGGAATGGTACACGTTCACAGGCTGCGCAAGTGCTGCACCCCCTGGCCTGGTGGCGTGTCCTGAGCCCTGGGGAGAGCCGGGCACACACCAGTCCTGCCCCCCTGCCCTGATTTTAGCGGGAGGAAAGCAGGACATGTGGGCCCCAGGGCACCATGGCAAGCTTTGATTGGGTTTTCACATAGGTGTTCAGGGCATTGGAGCTGCACTCCACCCTAAGTGAACCAGAGTAAGATATCATGGGAAAACTTCATAAATGACCAGTATCTTTGGACTTTACTGTTGTCCACACAGTCTTTGAGTAGCAGTAAAGCTTGTATTTTTTGAGAAAAGGATTTGCTCTGAATTTCCCAGAACTGTTTGGTAATGATGCTACTCTCCTCTAGCCCAGTTGTCTGCATCTTCAGAGCAGAAGTCTGGATTCAAAGGCTCTTGTTTCCAGTAGACGGTAGTCTCCAAAACTGCATCTGGCAGCTATCCCTTTTCGTTTTATTAAAGAACACCTTTCCCGTTATTACTTCAAGGAAATGGGAATTTTGCATCATTTTTGTCAGCTGAGTGAAATATTTTCAGATGGCCAGAGACTACAGTAATGGAAGAATAACTATATTTATTGTATTTCATTAGCGGAAAAGAGATTTTATGCTGTTTAAATTAATCATTGCCAAAGGACTGGGTTACTCATGATGTGAGGGGAGGAGAAAAATCAGGTGCAGAACACCTGAAACAGCAACAGGCCCCCAGTGGTGGGGGGTGTCCTCCAGAGAGAGAGCTTTTCCAACAAT